TTCCTTCTTGAATTTCTTTCCCTTCTTAATAGCTAAACCTCTTTGAATGTCACACAAAATTTTTCTGCTTAATTTAAGTGGAAATGTTCTCTCTTTTGAGAAGAGTTGAATCAGTGGATGTTAGGGTTTACTTCAAACGGTAAGGGCTTCATCCTCCCTCTACCATTCTCCCTCAACCACTCTGTGCTCAGTCAAGCCTCTCTGTATGCAGGACAGTCTGCTCCCCACAGAGCCTTCTGCACACGCAGTGTTCTCTGTTCTCTACCCTGTAGGGGTTCCTTCACTTCATAACACAGTGAGTTCAACATCTGGCTACTGGAAGTCAGATCCCGAGCAGTCCCATTTTACCAGGCACAGTTCACCAGACTTCCAAAAGGGTTCCCAAGTGCCTGATGTTAAGCATCACCCAGGAAGATGTACAGTGCAGCGCATGCAGTTTCCATCCTAATCACAGTCCCAATGCAAACACCTCATCCATCCCTCCACTTCCTGAAACACAGCTACAGCAATGAGGTACTCAGAAATCCTCACAGAAACGTCATGCAACAGACCCACTTAGACTTACTATATGCAGGGACTGCTCTAAGTACTTCACAAGTGCTAGCTAATGTAATCTCCAAGAACTCTGAGGTGGACACACTCATCATCCTCAGTTCACTGAAGATCTGAGGTCCAGAGAGGTGAAGTAACTCTCCAAGGTCACATGCAAGAAACTCGCAGGGAAGTATCTGAATCCAGGTTACTTTCATCCTCATGCTATACTTACCTATCAATGTTACAGAGACCCTGAGTATGGAAGAACAAATCTGTCAGCGACCTCACTTACCTTAATTGGTAACAAACTGCCTTATGAACTTGACACCATGTTCTTCCATGTGTGCACCAATTTGTTGGCCATGTCCTGGTCAAATCCTCTCAGAAGAAGGACCGTACCATAACAGTGACATCTAGACCAATACCAGCAAGAAATCCAGCGCACTCCAAGAACATAGGACGCTCCAACCACCAGGGTCTTGCCCGGGCAGTAAGTAAGGAGAAAGGTCATCACTGAAAAGAATTAAGGAAGGAGGAAGGGAAATGTTCATGTATGAGTAACAACGAAACCAAAGAACTCTTTTATTTCACAGGAACAAGATACTTACAAGATTATAAACACTCAACTAACAAACACAATATTGAGAAGTTTAAGGTGTTAGATAGTCTTTCTTGCCATTCAGATGCTTTGGGCATAGATCAAGTTATTTGGCTAAATACATGTAAGTCATGTAACTTTTTTAAAAAAGACTTATTTTATTTATTTGAAAGGCAGAGTTACTGAGAAGGTAGGGACAGAAAGAGAGAGGTCTTCCACCAGCTGGTTCACTACCCAAACGGCTACAATGACTGAGGCTGGGCCAGGCCAAGCCAGGAGCCAGGAGCCTCTTCTGGGTCTCCCACATGGGTGTGGGGGCCCAAGCACTTGGGGCATCCTCTGCTGCTTTCCCAGGTGCACCAGCAGGAAGCTGGACCAGAAGTGGAGCAGCCAGAACTTGAACTGGTGCCCATGTGGGATGCTGGCACTGCAGGCTGGGGATTTAACCCGCTGCGCCAAAGCACCAGCCCTGCCATTTAACTTTTGACATTTGTCCAAAACGATTTTGAACTGTTCGAAACGATTCATACATTTGCAAACTGTATCCTTGTCCCCACTACTCAGCTCTCTCCAAGGTGGAAAACTGTGTGTTACTTTTCACCTATAACATGAATTATCAAGAGTAGAGAGATAGACGGGAAATTTTCCAATATTGTTTTTGTAATACAAAAACAGTATTAAGAGGTAGGACATTTGGGAGGTGATTTGGTCATAAAGGTAGAGCCCTCATGCCTGAGATTAGTGTCTTATATAGAGGCCCAGAAAGCAGCTTGCTTTTCCTGCCATACGAAGACACAGCAAGAAGGCAGTATCTATGAACCAGCAAACCGGCCTCACCAGAATCCAGATCTGGGGACCAGTGTAGTGCTGCAATGGGTTAAGCCACTGCCAGTGACCCAGCAACCCACACTGGTGCACAGGTTCGAGTCATGGCTGCTGCACTTCTGATCCAGCTCCCTACTAATGTGAAAGAAGCCGAAGATGGCTGAGGTACTTGGCCCTGGCACCCACTGGGAGACTGGGATGTAGTTCCTAGCTCCTGACTTCAGCCTACACCAGCCCCATCCTGGTTGTAACCATTGGGGAGTGAACCAGCAGATAGAAGATTCTGTCTTCTGTCTCTCCATCTCTGTTATTTTCCAATAAATAAAATAAATCTGAAGGAAGGGAGGAAAAGAAAAAAGAACCAGATCTGCTGGCACCTTCCAGAACTGGGAGAAATAAATTTGTTATAAGCCACCCAGTTTGTTTGCTACAGCAGCTGTGACAAAGCGCACATCCAAGACAGCATTGACGCAGCTGCTGTCTGCGCTGCCCCTGGGTAAGGTATAAAAGATAAATCTCATCACCAAAAAAGGAGTTTAAAGAAGAGCTTTTCATAGCACAATCATGAATTCCAGGCAAAAGGCATCCAGAGGACATATTTTTACTAAGAATGTTTCTTAATAACCTAGTATTTTAAAATTCCTGGCCAGCGCCACGGCTCACTAGGCTAATCCTCCGCCTTGCGGCGCCAGCACACCAGGTTCTAGTCCCGGTCGGGGCGCCGGATTCTGTCCCGGTTGTCCCTCTTCCAGGCCAGCTCTCTGCTGTGGCCCGGGAGTGCAGTGGAGGATGGCCCAAGTGCTTGGGCCCTGCACCCCATGGGAGACCAGGATAAGCACCTGGCTCCTGCCATCGGATCAGTGCGGTGCGCCAGCCGCGGCGGCTATTGGAGGGTGAACCAACGGCAAAGGAAGACCTTTCTCTCTGTCTCTCTCTCTCACTGTCCACTCTGTCAAAAAATAAAAATAAAAATAAATAAATAAAAGGAGTAAAATGCCTGAACCACAGGGTTAAGTAGTGTTATCACCTGATGGAAATTTAAAAAAAATTGCAATGCAAACCTCCTTGCTTGACTCACGTATTTCAGAAGGTCCCTAACGATGTTGTACGCATTCAAACAGCAGTGAGTGGGGCCTAGTGAATGATACATTTAAATGGCCAGCCATCCTGATTTTTTGGTGTCCACTTTGCAAGGGTGACAGGGTATCACGATCCTGGTTTTGCAAAAACTAGATGTACAGACATGTGTGTCTCCCTTATTTTAAAAGAAGTCTGGTGAGTATCCCTGTGGCTTTATATGGGACATGCTTATACACACATGCATCAATAACTTTCAATACAAATATAAATGTGGATCCTTTGTACAACTATGCTAGCAGTGATAGTAACTGTGTGGTAAGATGAACCACCATTTGTGGCTTTGAATTTTCAAATGTTCTCTTAAAATGATTTTTCCCTTTCCTCTTCTATTCCCTGTCCCTAAAGGAAAAGTGTGACAAAGAATTCAGTCTGACATGCAAAAATTGGACTAAACTGGCCTGAAGACAAAAAGTAAAAGCAGAACTCCACGGAGCTGTCTTCCTCTCTCTGCTGCCCCCTCACCTGCTGATGCAGTACTCCTTGTCCCCATGGGATGCCCACGTAGCGTGGCCTTTCCCCGGTGGCAATGAGAAATCGCTCTGCCTGAGTAAAGTTTTTCTTTGCCTTATTATTTGTTGCCTATGAAAGAAACAGTATGTTAACTCAATATGCAATCATCCCTTTAGAATTTTAAACTTTACTTAACAAAGGACATACTCTGTCTCATTTATGCTCACACAACTTGGTAATACAGTATGAGTCTCTAGCCTCCTCCTCTGGTCTCCTTTCTCTTCTCTCCTGCTCGCTCTCTCCTATCATCTCCCTATCTCTTCTCTCCTAGCTCCTCTCCTCTCTGTCTCGCTTTATACTCTCCTTCTCCCTTTTTCCCTTCTTCATCCCACCCCTCCAGTCTGCTGTGTTTTAGGTCAAGTGCCTAAGCCCCACATGGCCAACTGAATATGACATCATGGGCCTAAGGTATTCTTAGGAAAAAGGCAACTGTAACTGTAAAAAGACACTGAGTTCGAAGGAATTTCTCTTTGAATCTAGGAACATCACTACCTTTGAAAATATCGCTTTGTAACTTGCTGAATTTATTTTGCAATTTATTTTAACAGGTTTCCAGGTAATCAGTATTCAATGAAACAGCAATGGGTAATTAGTACTTGTTTAGATGGATGCAATTAAATTTTAATTGAATTCAAGTAGAGATGTATAATATCACCATCTTAAGTCATTTAGGTGTATACTGCTAATTTATTGTAAACTCTAGTATACTCAGCATGTTAAATTTGTGTTAAAATGTTATAGAAATGTGCATTTATTAAGGAAGGTTAAAGGAAAGAGTTATTTTGAATAAAGAAAGGACACGGTTTGTAAGATTGACTTCATCCTAATGGCTAGTTTACTCTAGACTGGAATGGAAATGATGGAATGTTTCAAGTTGAAGAGGGTGTGTGGAAGTCACAGAAGGTTACGAAAGAAATCTTGGATCTTAATGAGAAAGCCACAGAGGCCTGAGAAATTAAAAAAAAAAAAAAAAAAAGACATAGTAAGGCTGAGAAGTTAACGGACTTGCTCAAGCCTCAAACCCGGAGCATCTGGCCTGGTAAGTAACCCCACAGCCCCCTCCCCCACCAAAGGTGCCCCAGGAAGGTGTGGTGGCAAATTCACTAACCTGGAAGGATGGGTCACAGGGGTTATTACTTTTATGACACTTTTCATACTTCATGGTATTTTTTCCACCCCTACCACCAACCAAATCTCATTTTGAAAAAGTAACTCAGTATGTCACAAAATTACCTTAATCTGATGAGGACCAATGAATTCCCCATAGGCATTTTCATAGACCACCTTCTTCTCCCGCAGGGCTACTCGGTAGCCCCAGTTCAGAGAGCCGATGTGATTCTGGACCGCTTCTGTCATTTTCTCCCAGTCATGTTCAACTGTGTAATAAAGATCGAACATTTAGCTTTTCAACTGCGTAACACAAAAAAGCAAAGCTTTTGAGAGAAAAGAGAGTTCTTCCACTTTGAGAACTGTGGGGAGCAATCCGGACTAGACTAAGTTGCTCGAATTAGGACTTATTCTATGCATCTGCTCTCCCACAATATGGCGCTGGGAGAGAAGTAAACAGCTTCCGCACAGCTGCCTTCCAGTTCAAACCAATTAACTGTAGGACTTGCTCCTGATTGGAGAGCAGCGTACTCAGCCGAGTTGGGATTGGCGGAGGAGGACTATAAAGGAGGAGAGAGACGGCATGCACCGGGAACATCTATGGGGAACATCTAGCTGAAGGAACACCCGTGCAGCCCCCCAGAGAGCCGGCCGGCGGTGTGCCGCTCCCCTGCGGAAGTGGGGAATGCGGCCAGGGGGAACTGCCCTTCCACGGAGGTGGAAGGGATAGTAGCCAACCCGGGAAGAACCAGCAGCAAACCCGGGGAGGGCCGAGCAGACGAAAGAACAGCGCAGGGTCCTGTGTCGTTCCTCCGCGAAGAGGGGGAGCGACATAATGGTGCCGTGACTCGGATAGGAAACCTGACTCGGATAGGAAACTTAGGACGGATAGGAAACTTAGGAGAGAAGAAACGGGAAGAACTGGGAAAATATCGGAGAGAGAGACTAGCAAACAGCCAAGGGAAAATACCGGAGAGAGAGACTAGCGAAGAGCCTAGGGGAAAGCCGGACGAGAAAGGTGCCGTAAGAAGCTATTGAAAGCCTAGGCATAGACTTGGATATGGACTGTGGGAAAGAAGTCAGGATTTGAAAGCGAAAGTGAAAGCTTTCATAGACTCGGATGCGGACTATGGCGGGGAAGCTAGGAGATTGAAGGCGAAAGTGAAACCTGGAGGAGGCTTGGACTCGGATACGGACTGTGGGGAGTAGCCAGGAGAAATGAGAGGAATATTGTTGGAGGAAAACTTGGGGAAGCATACCGGGTAGAGAGAAATGTTGGGGAGGATGAAGCCGCGAGTGCAGGCCAAGCCATCTTGGAATTCTTCAAGTCACCCCGGGGAGCAAGAGGCGAAGATCTGGAACCAGAGGCAGAGACGTGGGCCGCCAGAATTCGCCAGGTTAGTCCGGGGAACTTGGACTGAGTGCCGGTGGTGGCGGAAACATTCGCGGAGGCCGCCGCGTGCAGAGAGAGCACGGGGCGTTGGCGCGGGGCCGTGGTGCGGGCGCGAGGTGCGTGGAGACCGCGGAGCGTGCGCGCAGAGCCGGGAACCCGCCGGCGGGGCGAGGCGCCAGGAAGCCGCGCAGAACTGTGAAGCCGCCGCGCGGGGCGGGCGCCGGCGGGGCGAGGCGCCGGGAAGCCGCGCAGAGCCGTGAAGCTGCCGCGGGGCGAGGTGCCGAGAAGCAGCCTCGGGGCGGGCGCCGCCGGAAAGCCGCAGGGATAAGAGAAACAGAAGTTTGGAAGTAAAGTGAGAGAAATGGGAATGTTGGCAGACAGAAGTAAAATGGGAGAAATAGGAATGCCCGGAGATAGAGAATAGAGAAATAAAAAGGCCTCCCTACAACACTGCAATGTGAGAGCTTGGATTCGGTCTGCCTAATCAAGTGAGGCGATGAGCACCTGCGGGCAGCTAGCAGCTTATGCACCGCAGGTCACCGAAGACAGGCACGAATTAACATCAGTAAAGCTTCCCCACAATGCAACAATTAGGAGGCTTGGATTCGGTCTGCCTGATTTAAGGCGGTAAGCGCCAGCAAAGCTCGACCAGAGTATGAGCTGCAGGTCACCGAAGATAGGCACAAACCAACACTAATAAGTCTCCCCCACAATAAGGCAATGAGAAGGCTTGGATTCGGTTTGCCTGATAGGTCTTGTAAGTCCCCTGCAGGCAGAGCAGAGCATGCGCTGCAGGGCACCGAACACAGGCACGCATCAGCGCCTAAAAACCTCCTCACAATGGCGAAGAGAGGACCCGGATTCGGTTTTCCTGATTGATAGGACTTGTAAGAGCCTGTGGCAACTCTAGCAAGTACAGCAGAGTGTGTGCTGCGGGACACCGAAGACAGGCGCGTATCAACGCCAAAAAATAAAAAGAAAGGGGGATCTGTGGGGAGCAATCCGGACTAGACTAAGTTGCTCGAATTAGGACTTATTCTATGCATCTGCTCTCCCACAATATGGCGCTGGGAGAGAAGTAAACAGCTTCCGCACAGCTGCCTCCAGTTCAACCAATTAACTGTAGGACTTGCTCCTGATTGGAGAGCAGCGTACTCAGCCGAGTTGGGATTGGCGGAGGAGGACTATAAAGGAGGAGAGAGACGGCATGCACCGGGAACATCTATGGGGAACATCTAGCTGAAGGAACACCCGTGCAGCCCCCCAGAGAGCCGGCCGGCGGTGTGCCGCTCCCCTGCGGAAGTGGGGAATGCGGCCAGGGGGAACTGCCCTTCCACGGAGGTGGAAGGGATAGTAGCCAACCCGGGAAGAACCAGCAGCAAACCCGGGAGGGCCGAGCAGACGAAAGAACAGCGCAGGGTCCTGTGTTGCTCCTCCACGAAGAGGGGGAGCGACAGAGAACATCAGCAACTTTTTCATCTTTGAAGATTTTTTTCCCCTTTCAGCAGAGTAAGGCAAGGCTTCTTGACAATTGTCAAAAACATAATAGTCATACACAATCATTCTGTTTTATCTAGAAATGAACTGGAATTTTACTTTGGATTGTAAATACTAATTGCTGGGGTGTGTGTGTATGTGTGTGTGTGTGTATACACACACACACAGGGTTAATTCTAATTATATTTAGTTGGCCCCATTATTAAAATTCAAATTTAGGGGCTGGTGTTGTGGTGCAGCAGGTTAAGCCACCACCTACGATGCTGGCATTCCATACTGGAGAGTCAGTTCAAGTCCAAGCTTGCTCTACTTTGGATCCAGCTCCCTGCTAATACACCCGGAAAAGAGGAAGATGGCCCAAGTGTTTGGACCTGTGCCACCCATGTGCGAGACCCAGCTGGAGTTCTAAAATCCTGGCTCTGACCTAGCCCAACCCCAGCCATTGTGGGCATTTGGGGAATGAACCAGTGGATGGAAGATTGTTCTCCTTCTCTCTGTCATTCTACCTTTCAAATAAACAAATAAATTTTTATTTATTTACTTTTCCTTTCAGCTTCCTAACCCGATAAAGTAAACCTGTAGCCCCAGTACATATTCTACATTCCAACCATATTAAGCCCCCATGTTCTACTGACTACATTTCTCCAGTTGATAGCATAAGGCTAACATCCACTAGTACCATACACAAATCTGGGAACTAAACCCCACACAGATGAAGAAAATTTATGAGCCTGAGTGACACTTCCCTGGCATTATAACTTATCTAAATTTACGAGTCAGTGGCACAGGAAGGAGACTGTATGGAAATCACAAAAGCAATTTCCATAAATCAAAATCTGTGTGGATTCCTTTTTTTCCAACAGATTCTAAACCTTTTCAGATGAATATTCTTGTTGTATGTCTCAAGCCATAGCATTTCTAAAATGTCAACCAAGCAGTCAAATAAACTCCCTGAAGGAGACCCTGTTGATAACAGGAGGGGGATGGGCATGTATGGGCAGCCTCGCTGGTAGACATTCAGACACGTGAGTCAGTAAGAATGTGGAGGACAGAAAAGGCAGTAGAGTGATAGATGACTGGCACCCTATGGATCAAACCCATGTTTCACAGTCAGAAGAGTCTATGCAACTGCACATGTAGACGGGTTGAGAAAACAAGGTGGGCTCAGAAGCACATACCAGATATTCAGCACAGCCGCAAGCCCCCCAGTCACAGGCAGAAGGCAGCCTGGTATTGGGTCTGAAGAAACAGATGTGACCCTCAACACGAGGAAACTTTAAAAGTAACTGATTTTGTAAGACCTCAGTCATAAAAACAATACTATTGATTTTAAACAAGAAGTAAAGCATAAACTGAGGAGGCATGACTAGTATGAATGGGAGCAACATTTTTCAAAGCATGTATGACTAAACTATGCACTGGGTTTTCTGCCTTCAGTAGATTATTCATTGCAACTCAAAAAAAGCCACAAAATAGTTAATCCTAGCTATTGAGTAGAAGACTTTCCCTCAAACACCGCATACATCATGAATCTCAAAACTGGAGCTTCAATGTTTAAGGACAGAATGATGTAGGTCACGAATTAGTCACAAAGCTGTGCCAGGCCTCCCCCGACCCTCCTGGCAGAGTACAAGCCTGTCTAAGGTTTCTAGAGCACTCTTAAAATATTTTTAATCCAACAAAGTCTAACCTCTCAATATATCAGCTCAGGAAACAGATTTATTTGTAGAGGGAAAATGCAATAGCCTCAACAGGAAGCCAACGTAATTTGTAATTCCTTACAAATTACTAACACTGTATGGGTTTCTTACAAATACATGAGAACTTATTTCAAAGAATTCTGGTTTTCTATTATAGAAATACCATACTCCAAATGTAGTGTCTGTTCTTACCATAATAACTATGTAGTTAAGGAAAAGTGCAGTGATTTCATCCATAAATAATGTAAACAACAGAAACAACTCCCAGAGTATTTGCCAGCCTTGTGAAAAGGACAGGGCACTTCAAGGCCGCAGCTCAAAACTGCAAAGCACCAATCAAAGCTCAGCTCTTCCCTCCATACCAGTGTCCTCGAATTTCCACCCGTAATTGCGAGAGTCTTGCAGCGCCTGTCCCAACAAAGCCGCCTGGTGCATCAGTTTTTTAGGTATGCAACCCACGTTCACGCACGTTCCTCCGAGACCTGCAACGACATTGAGAAACCAGTTTAGAGCCTGCTTTACAAGCCTTCAAAAGGAAAAGGTCAGTGATGATTAAAATTCTGTCAAACACGGTATTTTACTCGCTTGATGTAGTCAATATCATTTATGTAAATTTATTTCTAACTCTTATGGGATTTCAGAAAGCACTACATACCAAACACAGCATTCCAAACACATCATCCTAAAACAAAACAAACACAAGCATATTTCTGCAATTTCTATATATTTCAAAGATCCAAAGTGACCTGACTGCTGATAAACACGACAACCATAAACTTGCCACTGAACCTAGGCACAGAACTAACTGTCAGGGGTGGGGGTGCTGCTATGCTGGGTATATTTAGACTGCAGTGGATTTGAAACCACGTATGTGCCTTTTTGAAGGATGTGGCCTAAAGTTTTCACTTGATTCTACAAAGCTGCAATAGTCCTCTGCTTAAAGAACATGGCAACAGCTTCTGACTTAGAACCAAACAGAGGCAGGTGAGGGGGAAGCCAAATGACACGAGTTAGAGCGCAAGGTGCCTGTGGTCTTGAGCTCTCAGTCAGCCCTCTGAGTGTCACACTGGAGTGCAGGCACCACAGGGCGGAAGATACACTGAGCACCAAGAACTGTGCCTGACACAGAGCTGAACTTAGTATTCATTAATAAACTGGAAACGGAGATCTATCTGGACCTCCTGATTCTTGCCACCTTCACATGCAAACAGTCAAGTATCTTCATAAAACTTACATGTCACATTACTCCCTTGACTTCCATTCCTCAAAGGCTTCCCACACTACTGTTTTCAGTACAAATTCTTCACCTTGGCCTACAAGATCCTGTACAGTCTGACACCTGCCTTCCTCCCATTGCTTATACTACTACCTCCAACCTCTGTGACCTGTGCCACACCACAAGAGACTCTTACCTACCCCAGGGCCTTTACATGTGCTATTCTCTGGGAAAGAGAGGAAAATTGCCTGGGAGGTTCTACCTCAGCTTTTAGCATAGTTGGCTGTTCTCATTACCACTGTCATGGCTTCATTTAAATGCTAGTTCTGGGGTCAGCACTGTGGCGTAGCAGGTAAAGCAGCCACCTGTGGTGCCAGCATCCCATATGGGCACTGGTTCGAGTTCCAGCTGCTTCACTTTTGACACAGCTCCCTGCTAATGGTCTGGGAAAGGCAGCAGCAGATGGACCAAGTGCTTGGCCCCTGCCACCCACAAGGGAACCTCCTTCCTCATGGCTTTCGCCTGGCTCAGCCCCAGCTGTTGTGGCCATCTGGGGAGTAAGCCAGTGGATGGAAGATCTCTCTCTGATTTTCAACTGAGTAAATAAATCTTTAAAATTAGATAAATGCATGTCAGCTCTTCGGAAGTCTTTCTGGATAATCTTCTCAAAGTGGAATGCTCACCTCTACCCAGCTCCTCCCTATCCCACAGTGTTCTCAGCACACTTATCTTCTGTCTCCCCACTAGAATATAAGCTCCATGAGGGTGGCAGCTCCTCACGTACCAAATTCACTGCCTATCCTCATGGTCCCAGTTTGTAAGTGTTCAGTAAATGTGCAGTAAATAAAATAAGGAACATATAATTCATCAAGACTCAGAAGCAGCAATGCTATCCATTAAGGTGCCACAGATCCCAGTTCTTGTGGAATGTGGGAGGTGGAGTGAAAACAGAAACCCACAGATGAGAAGTTGGCATTTTCAGTTATGCAAGTCCCGAAGAATACTAGGTTACTAAAACATTTACCTTCAAATCGCAGCATGCAGACAAGGTTTTTACTACCCTGACTTTGTGTCAAAAAAACTGAGTTTTCAGCATTTAACTTGAGTCCATTCTAGCTTAGCTCAAGTGAAAAAGGTTTATTATTTTTGGTTTGCTTTTTAATTTTTAAAGTGAGATTTAGGAGCCATTTGATCAGTACCAAGGAAAGACTTACTCCTATAAAAACCAAGTCTAAAATATTTTTAAAAGCTTACCCCATCTAGTTCCAAGAGGAGTTGGGGTGACAAATCCAGAACCATCACTTTCTTCCCATATTTGGCTGCCTCCTAGAAAATAAAATTGTTAAAATCAGTTGAAAAGTATCGCATGACAAACTGGAAATGAACTGTTAAAATCTGGTCTCTATGAAGCTATAAATGCCTAAAGAATAAACAGCTATTAATACACGAGAATTTCACGTCATGATGATTAATTCAACTCCAAGATAAAAATAAAGAATATTCAAATCAGGTTGGCATTGTGGCACAGAGGGTAAAGCCTGCTGCACTGGAATCCCATATGGGCACTGGTTCATATCCTGGCCGCTCTACTTCTAATCCAGCTTCTTACTAATGACCGGGGAAAAGCAGCTGCAGATGATCCAAGTGTTTGGGCCACTGACACCCATGTGGGAGAACCATGGGCCACTGACACCCATGTGGGAGACTCCTGGTTTTGGCCTGGTCCAGCCCTGGCTGCTGCAGTCATATGGCAAGTCAACCAGCAGATGGAAGATTGCTCTCTCCCATGCTCCTCCACCTCAGTAACTCTCACTTTCAAATAAATAAATATATCTTTAAAAAAAGAAAAACATTAAAATAGTTGAAGATTATGCAGATTATTGTTGTAAAATTGTTAGAACCAGCTGGAGGGGCCAGCACTGTGGCGTAGCAGGTAAAGCCGCCACCTGCAGTGCTGGCATACCACATGGGCACCCGTTTGAGTCCCAGCTGCTCCACTTCCGATCCAGCTCTCTTGATACGGCCTGGGAAAGCAGTGGAAGACAGTCCAAGTGCTCAGGCCCCTGCATCCATGTGGGAGACCCAGAAGAAGCTCCTGGCTCTTGGCTTCAGATTGGTCCAGTTCCAGCTGTTATAGCCATCTGAGGAGTGAACAAGCAGGCAGAAGACCTCCCTCCCTCCCTCTCTCTCTGCCTCTGTAACTCTTTTAAATAAATAAATTAATTAAAAAAAAAGAACCAGCTGGAAAACTTAAAATCTTCTTTAATGGCACTTACACAATAACAAATTAAGCAATAATCTGACAAAAAATAAGGCCATTTCCCAGTAACTGGTTAAGTAGCTGGTAAATCAGGCTTACTGATAGTCTACAGTCTTTGACTCAACTTGTGTATTAGAATACTTTTTAAAACATTAGCTTGTTAGTGTTTTTTGTTTGTTTGTTTTTTACAGGCAGAGTGGACAGTGAGAGAGAGAGAGACAGAAAGGCCTTCCTTTGCCGTTGGTTCACTCTCCAATGGCGCTGTGGCCGGCGCGCTGCGGCCGGCGCACCGCGCTGATCCGATGGCAGGAACCAGGTGCTTATCCTGGTCTCCCATGGGGTGCAGGGCCCAACCACTTGGGCCATCCTCCACTGCACTCCCTGGCCACAGCAGAGAGCTGGCCTGGAAGAGGGGCAACCAGGACAGAATCCAGCACCCCGACCGGGACTAGAACCCGGTGTGCCGGCGCCGCTAGGTGTTGTTAGTTTTATCAAGTATGTTCTAAATTTCCAAGTCTTGAAGAATACTGGAGACATTTTCTACTGAAATTGTCAGATTTCCTAAAATTTTCATGTGAGAAGCCCATGAAGAGGTTGATGACAAACCTAGTTTCCAAATCTATTTCAGGGAAGTGAAGAGAACAGTCTCAAGTTCATCTGCAGAGTACTTTTCATCTTTCTCAGTCAGCCAGCCATGTGTTCCAGCAACTAGACCTTCAAAGGTTATCTGAAAGGAATGCATCTATGTGTCCGTCAGCAGTGTTGACAGACATCAACAGTGACTCCTGAATCACTTTTGGCAAAGCATTATTTCATGCTAGACATTGTCCTCCTTCATTTGAATCTACCTTTTTAAAAGATTTATTTTTATTTATTTTAAAGGCAGAGTTAGAGAGGAGGAGGAAGGAGGGAGGGAGAGGAGGGTGAGGAGAGAGGGAGAGAGAGAAACAGATAGAAAGACAGAGATCTTCATCTTCCATACACTGGTCACTCCTCAAATGGCTGTAATGGCCGGGGTTAGACCAGGTCGAAGCCACAAGCCAGAAGCTTCTTCTAGGTCTCCCATGTGGGTGCAGGGGCCCAAGAATTTGGGCCACCCTCCACTGCTTTCTCAGATGCATTAGCAGGGAGCTGGATAGGAAGTGGAGCAGCCAGGACTTGAACTGGTGCCAATAATGGGATACCGGTGTTACAGGTGGCAGCTTTACCTGTTATATCAGAGCGCTGGTCCCTTTCTTCAACCTTTAAAAGAACCTGTGGGGGCCAGCGCTGCAGCTCAATAGGCTAATCCTCCGCCTTGTGGCGCTGGCGCCCTGGGTTCTAGTCCTAGTCGGGGCGCCAGATTCTGTCCCGGTTTCTCTTCTTCCAGTCCAGCTCTCTGCTGTGGCCCGGGAGTGCAGTGGAGGATGGCCCAAGTGCTTGGGCCCTGCACCCCGTGGGAGACCAGGAGAAGCACCTGGCTCCTGGCTTTGGATCAGCGTGGTGCGCTGGCTGCAGTACGCCTGCTGCAGCGGCCATTAGGGGGTGAACCAACGGAAAAGGACCTTTCTCTCTCACTGTCCACTCTGTCTGTCAAAAAAAAAAAAAAAAAAAAAAACCTGTGGGGGAAGGATGGGCCTAAGGACTCCTCATATAATACATCTCCACTCAGGCCAGGAGCCTTCCTGCTAACCTTTATTCACACACCCTCTTCCCAGTTAGCTGTAAGCCACAGGGCTAGTGGTTAATCTCAGAAGGAAGATCATTTCTAATAAATGACTTTAAGAAATACAACTGTCCTCCTTCTTTCACAAACAGGCTATAAACAGGGAATCATGAAGGTGAGAAACCAAATAATAATATGTACAGAAAGAAACATTTAATTTCAAACCACTTCCACACAGTATTCTTAGTATCTATGAAGAATCAATTAAACTTAAAATGAGTGAAAATGCATCCCCAAATACCAGGCCCTTTTTCATAAAGAGCAAATATATTCAACTTAGAAAAATTATGTATAAAGTAAATACTGAAGTTAATATGCAAAATGCCACAAGAGTGAATAGAATAAATTCCACAGAGACTGCAGAGACCAACTCTGCCCTGGACACTGAGTGCAGAGAACACACAGCACCAGGAGCCTTGCCTTGGCAGCTGCCAGTCCTCCGGAGCCGCCGCCAATGATGATGAGGTCATAGTCATAGGACGGGGGAAGGTCCTCAGAACCATTCATCTTCAGGAGCTTTTGAAGTGTGCCTTCCTGGTAAGCCTGAAGGAAAACAATCGAAGAGGAAATAAGTTAACTTAAAAAGCAGCAATGTTCCGAAAGCTAAGAAAATCTTTTAAAGAAAAGCAAAACAAATTTTAGACAGAAAAACGTGTGATGTACCTTACAGCACAGACGTGGGAATACCCAGCCCTCCTTCGAGTGGTGAGCAGAATCTGCTTTAAGTCAAGAGCCCTGAGGACTGCGTCCCTGTGCCTCTGCGCGTCAGCGGTCACCTCTCTGAAGCATTCAGACGCGACTTCTACAGCAGTAAGGTCCCAACGGCCCGACAAAATCAACCTCTGCCTACGGTAAGTGTGATCAGCTATTTCTCCCCAGAATTTTTCAACAAGGTTTAAAACCAGTTTTAGCTTGTATGTACCACATGCTTTAGTGGAACTGTCAATACAGTCTGGCAATCATCTTCACTTTTTAGTCAAAGTAGAATTAACGGGCTAAAGTCTCAGAGTAAGATGGCAGCCTGGTAAATACAAGTATAGTTAAACACCTACAGCAGGGGCCAGTGCTGTGACATAGCAGATAAAGCCACAGCCTGTGACACCGGCATTCATTGAGTGCTGCTTTGTGTTCTGGCTGCTCCTTTCTGATCCAGCTCCCTGCTAATGTCCTGGAAAAAGCAGTTTAAGATGGCTCAGGTGCTTGGGCCCTTTTCACCCATACAGCAGACCCAGATGAAACTCCTGGCTTCAGTCTGGCCCAGCACTGGCCATTGTGGCCATTTGGGGAATGAATCAGCAGATGAAGATCTGTTTGTCTCTGTCTGTCTGTCTGTCTCTCTCTCTCTCTCTTTCAGAATAAGTTAAAAAAAAAATCCTTTTCACTAGTTGGACACATTAGTTATATTTCATATGAATTTGGAAGACCGTTTTGGTGACATATTTAAACACTACATTAAAATAAAATTCTGGTGGCCTGAGCTGTGGCACAGTGGATTAAAGCCTGCAGTGCCAGCATTCCATATAGCCACCTGTTCAAGTCCCAGCTGCTCCACTTCCGATCCAATTCCCTGTTAATGTACCTGGAAAAGCAGAAGATGGCCCAAGTCCTTGGGCTTCTGCACTCACACAGGAGACCCAGAGAAAGCTCTTGGCTCCTGACTCCATCCTGGCCAAGTCCCAACAGCTGAGGCCATTTGGGGAGTGAATCAGCGGATGGAAGACCTCTTTCTCTGTCTCTACCTCTCTCTGTAACTCTTTCAAATAAATAAAATAAATCTTCTAAAACATTTAAAAATAAATAAAATAAATTCTATGCTAACATGGGATAATGACTGAAAAATTAGTAAGAACAATAATTTTTTTTTTCAAATCAAGTCTTAATCTTAATAACCAAAAAGGCCCTCAAACTTACCAGCCCAGGCCGCACATTTTCCTCCTGCCTACAATCACACGTAGGGGCTGAAGGGCAGAGGCTGGGGTCAGCAGATGAACAGGGTGCTTGGGATGTTTCGGGAGGGGGTGCAGTGGAGGGCTGTGGAGGCGGCGGCACAGCGCTGTGGCTGCCCCTTGGCAGCATGGTGGACGCACGTGGTGGCTCAGGGACTGAAGGGCTAACACCTGGAAACCAGCGGCAGTGGGGACGAAACCAGCGGCAGTGGGGACAAAACTGCGCCACCCTGACAGTCTGCACAAAAGGTCTAAGGTGAGTGGATGGTAAACAGAGCCAGTGTTTGCAGACTGGCATTACAGCAGAGCTTCCTCGTTCAGTACCAGGCACTGTGGGGGAGAAACAATTGGGTGATAACAGCCATTCAGACCAAAGGACCAGCCGAAGCTGCGGAGAACCAGTGTCACCCTGACCCAGCTCTTCAACAGCATGACTGGCTGGGTTAGAAGTGCTAATACCTGGGGCCAGTGCTGTGGCATGGTGGGTTAAGCTGCTGCCTGCAGCGCTGGCATCCCATGTGGGCACCAGTTGGGTTGCTCCACTTCTGATCCAGCTCCCTGCTAAATGTGCCTGGGGAAAGCACCAGAAGATGGCCCAAGCGCTTGGTCCCTGCACCCACATGGGAGACCTGACCGAAGCTCCTGGCTTTGGGCTGGTCCAGCCCCAGCTGTTGCAGCCATTTGGGGAGCAAGCGTCTCTCCCTCTCTCTCTCTCTGTAACTCTGCCTTTTAATAAAATAAAATAAATCTTAAAGCAAGAAGAGAAAGACAAGAAAGGGTAATACATGAATGCAGCTAGATGTTCTTCTGGAAGAGCCACACACAGCATTTCTATACTCAGCTTCATTTTCCCTGCACATACTCAGCACAGATGGGGCCAGAACACAATCACTGGCTATCTAAGGAAGACTGCCTTTTCTTAGGGCCCCCAGCCTCCCAACACTCCTAGCAGAACAAATAAAAAGATGAAACGCTGTAAACACAAATACTGTCCCTACCAACGTTCACAATCTGCTCTTTACTGAAATTCTGGATGTGACCTGGTTTCTTGGGTTCCAGTTTGGCAACAGCATACAGATGTTTACAAAGAAAGCCCTGAACATATTTAACTCTGTAAGGAAGAATTGGTTAGAGGCAAGTGCAAGTATTTGGATGACCCTAGAACTAAATATATGGCTGAGTTTTAACTGAACTTAAAATTGAAAAACTGCTGTCATTCAGCTCCAGATGAAGGGCATCCCACCTGAAATACAAGTAGAACAGGTGGTAGAAGACAGCTCCCAGAGAGCATAAGAAGGGAGCAGACACAGGGCGGAGACCAGAGGAAAACGTGCTCCCACCCTCCTCCAACTGCAAGTGTTCAGTTTAAGGGCGGCTAGCTGTGGGGGTTGATGCCGGAAGCTCTCACACCTGTTGGCAGTCTCAGGATCCTGTTAACAACCTTAAATTATCTGAGCCTCGAAAGAATTTTTGTTAATATGGGTTTTTAGCAATTCATATTTACCACATTTGAAATGAACACAGGGAGAGGCATTTGGTCTAGCAATTGGGGCACCAGCCAAGATACCTGTATCCCCATAGGAATGCGTGGGCTCATTATCTGCTAATGTAGACCCTGGGAAGCAGCAGTGATGGTTCAAGTAATTGGGTTCCTTCCTCCCATACAGGAGACCTGGATCACACTCCCTGCTTCCAGCTTCCCCACCAAGCTATTGGAAGTATTTGGGGAGTGGGCCTGCAGATGGAATTGCTTGCTTCCTCCCTCCCTCCCACCCTCTCTCTCTCAAATAAATAAATACAAATTAAGGGGCCAGCACTGTGGCCTGGAGGCTAAAGCCACCGCCTACAGTGCTGGAATCCCATATGGGCACTAGTTCAAGTCCAGCTCTCTGCTATGGCCTGGGAAAGCAGAAGATGGCCCAAGTCCTTGGACCCTGGCACACACATGGAAGACCTGGAGGAAGCTCCTGGCTCCTGGCTTCGGATTGGTGGCCTAGGTCCAGCCATTGCAGCCATTTAGGGAGTAAATCAGCAAATGGAAGACCTCTCTCTTTCACTCTGCCTCTGCCTCTCTGTAGCTCTTTCAATTAAATTAATAAATCTTTTTTAAAAACACAATTTAAAACAAATACATATTAAAAACAATTAAAGTATTAAATTTTAAAACACAGCCATCTGGAACAGGAACCAATGGACGGAAAATCTGTTTCCTCCTCCTCTCTCTGTAACTCTTTCAAATAAATATTTTTAAAAAAAATAATATACCCATTACTTCTTAACAAATATTTTTAGAGAAACTGCTTTAGTCAGTGACAAGAGAACCACTGTTCTGTATCTTTGGAATTCTCTTTAATGTCTGGCTTAACAAAAGACAGCTCATTATCTGCTGCTGCTTCTGTCTATTCCAATATGGCCTGGGACACAGGCTTTTAGTAAGCTTCATAGTAATCTTGCAGAAAATTAAAACAGAAAGGGCAAAAAACATCTCAGTATTATAAAATAATTTTAACCTCCCAGTCCCCCGAAAAGGAACTTGGGCCCCGCAGACTGCACTCTGAGACCCATCACTCTAGGCTGAGTGTTGATGCCGCCGCCCCCCTCCCCCTCCCACCTGAAGGTGCTCATCTTGCTGACAGGTCAGGCTGACACCCTGCACCGTCTTCCCTTTCTCCCACCTGCCTCTCACAGCAATGCTTCTTCTACCCCATTCCTAGAAATAAACACTGCTCCAGACTCCCCAGAAAAGGACACAACATCAAAAGCAATTTCACTGTTGCACATTTCTTTAAACTAGGATAAGCAACCCTGATTTCCCCCACAAGCACAATTCCTATCCTTTGCCACTGATGTATACTGGTTTTTTCTTCCCTTTCTACATGGCTCCAGTGTGAAACCGGATTAACATGCATGCTCCGCCACTTCTGAGGTGAGGCTTGCTTAGTATCTTATCCTTAGGAGCCTCCATGGTTCTCACTCCATGTGAAATGAGGATAACATGCCCCTGGACCACACCACATTGCTGGGGAAGTGATGCGCATTAGCACATGGCTGGAAGGAAGCAGTCTCTGTAAATCATTAATTCTCCCCTTCTGCCTGGGACTAAGTCGAGAGGCTTTGCAGTATGTCCTACAGGTGTCCTGCAGCACCACGTCCCACCGGAATGTCCTCCTTCTATCAGTCCTGACCTGGTACACAGATTAGCCCAACGTTCTATTACTTCTATTCAGTGTACCCTGATACATCGTCTGCTAAAGCATTCTCCTGGGGACCAGGGAGGTTCTTTTACCAACACAAGGTCCCTTCCATGCACCAAGTCTCCTTAAGATTCTCAAATATTCTCCTTTTCTTTCTTGCCACTCCAACACACGTTGTTAAGGCACTGAGCACAGACCGTTCCCCACAGACCCAGGATTTCTTCTTTTCTCCACTCCAAAACCTAACTGGAAGTCTTTACTTGACAGCCTGAATTGGGTGTTGCTCCTCTGAGATCCCACCGCCACCATCAACTCTACAAGGACATCTTATCTTTCATATCTGCATCTTCAGTGCCAACCATGCATTAGGGGCTGGTGCTGCAGCACAGAGGGTAAAGCTGCCACCTGCAGTACCAGGATCCCATATGGGTACTGGTTCAAGTCTCAGCTGCTCCACCTCCAATCCAGGTCCCTGCTAATACACTTGGGATAGCAGCAGAGGATGGCCCAAGTACTTGGGCCCCTGCACCCATATGGTAGACCTGGAAGAAACTCCTGGCTCCTGACTTTGGCCTGGCCCAGCCCTGGATGTTGTAGCCATTTGGGTAGTGAACCAAGGGATGGAAGATCAATTCTCTCTCTCTGCCTCTCTGTAACTGTGCCTTTCAATAAATAAGTAATCTTTATTGGAAAAAAAAAAAAAAAAACACCACTTTTAGAATGATACCAGCTCCAACTGTACTATATATCAAGATTGGGTATACTTAACTGTGCTTCAGTTTCTTACCCATTAAACACACAGAAAACACTTTGAAGAGCACAAGGTATGGGGTTGGCATTATGGCACAGTGGTACAGTGGTTGATACCAGCATCCCATATTGGAGTGGATGGAGTACAGGTTCAAGTCCTAGCTGTTCTGCTTCTGATCCAGCTTCCTGCTAATGCACTTGGGAAAGCAGAGAAAGACAGCCCCAAGTTTCCAAGAGAAAACTGGACTCCTGTTACCCATGTTGGAGACCAGAATTAAATTCCTGGCTCCTGGGTCCTCTCTGGCCCAGACAAGGCTGTTATCATTTGGGGAATGAACTAGCAAATGGAAGCCCTCTTCTCCCTTTCTCTACCTTGCTCTGCCTTTCAAGTAAATTAATATTTAAAAAGAATCATCTTCCACTCAGGGAAGTAGAGATGCTTTTAATACTAGGCTTCTCTTAGAATAAGGGAAGTGGATTATCCATGACCATTTATCTGTATCTTTTGCTAGTATGCACCTAACTGTTCAGTGCCTAGATAATATTTAACATTTATTCTGTATCAAGTATTATGCTACAATTATGACAGAGTTTCCAAGTCCTCCTTTCAGAGGCCTTCCCTTACCATCCTTTCTGAGCAGCACCTCAACCACTATCCAAGCAGTTTTCCTTTGGAACAACCATCACCAATAGGAACACTGTTCGTCTCCTCCTCTGTGACAGGCTGAACCATGGTCATCCTCCAACATGAAAGTCTGAACTGCCAGCCCTTGTGAAGAAAGGTCCCAGTAAATGGGGTTTTGGAGATTCAAGTGAGGTTCTGAAGACAGGGGGAATTTCCAAGATTAGCCCAATAGGCCCAACGTAATTCTAAAGGCCCTTAGAAGACGACGGTGGGGACTGAATTAGAATGAGAGAAATGACAGGGGCAGGAGGCCGCACTGCCAGCTTTGAGGACAGTCCGGGATAAACCAGACCTGCCCATACTTTAGTTTTAGCCAATGAAACCAGTTTTAGTTGGACACCCAACCTCCAGGGCTATAAAATGAGTGTTGTTTAAAGCCACTCAAATGTTTGGTGATTTGTTACAGCAGTCATTCACAAGAAACAAATACATCCCCTACCATATAATTCCATGAGATGGGCAGTTTTCCGTCCACCACTTTTTTCCCAGGGCCCAAATAGTGCTTTACCAGCTGCTGGGAAAATTAGCCATGCCTCAAACTCAATCACTTGGTAATGGATCCCCCAGAACAAAGGCAAGGATCTCAAAAGTGAGAAACTCTTGCTTAGACTCACAAGAGTGAGTGAATCATTAAAAAGGTCACCATGGAAGGAGGTGACATCACGGAATTTGCTGACCCTCATCTAGACAATGGGACACTAACAGGAGGGTCTACAATGAGAAAGACACTGTGGATTTTTTCATATACATCATATCCCAACTAGTCCTCACAATAAAGTCTTCTAAGCAGGTATCATTCCCATTTCCTAGAGAGGGTCCCTTAGAGATTAAGAAACTTGCCTATCAACAGAAAATGAAACCTAAATCTGTACAGTTACAAATATTTTTGCTTCTTCCACTACAGCATACCTAGCAATTCATACTCCAAAGTACTTGTCACTTATATTTTCTAATTTGATCCTTATTAAGAAATAGGTACTATTCCCATTTAGCAGGTCAAAACTTTGAGTTTACAGATTACATAATTTACCCATGATGCATAACCAGTCAAAATCTGATCCCAGGTCCTATAAACAGGTCCAGGTCCTATAAACAGGTTCATTTGATCAATAAAGTTGTAATTTTTCTAAGCAGCCTATTTTATTCTCCTGAAGTTGAGTTTATTTATCAAATCTGAAAAATTTAAGATACTCTCTACTAGTGGAAAACCAGATGACTTCTATTTGGTTCTTTTTTTTTTTTTTTTTTTTTTTTTTTTTTTGACAGATAGAGTTAGACAGTGAGAGAGACAGAGAGAAAGGTCTTCCTTCCATTGGTTTGCCCCCCAAATGGCCGCTACTGCCGGAGCTACGCCAATCCAAAGCCAAGAGCCAGGTGCTTTCTTTGGGTCTCCCATGCGAGTGCAGAGGCCCAAACACTTGGGCCATCCTCCACTGCCTTCCCGGGCCACAGCAGAGAGCTGGACTGGAAGAGGAGCAACTGGGACTAGAACCGGCACCCATATGGGATATCGGCGCCGCAGGCACAGGATTAACCAAGTGAGCCATGGTGCTGGCCCCTGTTGGTTCTTTATCTCTGTAATTCTCCCCATTGGCCAGTTTTTATTTAATGCAAGCAGTGGCTTCAATTTCAAACTGATGTGGCACCCTGTATGTCACAATCACCAGTACAGAAAGAAACAAAACAAGTGGATAACTTTATACGTACAGCTATAACTTCAGGGAAAATGCAAAAAAAAAAAAAAGAAAAAAAAAAACACCTTTTGTAAAACCTCTACATTCTCTCCTGAAGCTGATAAGTCATCACTACATGTAAACACTCCTAGTGAAGACACGAGGCAATCATGACAGAACAATGTGATGCTGAGTGCGGAACTGAAACAGGATCTTTCTGCTCCCAGTGGGACTATGTATCTCTTCCTCCAACAGCACAGAACTTGTGATGGTGAAGTAAGGGCCAGTAAGACCCAAGGATGCTTCCCTTACAGATAAAGCACAGTAAACACTCAGAAGGGTTAGCCCTTCTTTAGGGGAGAAAGGGGAAGGAATGACTACTTTAGAAAATAGCTGGGACAGTTTCATGAAAAACTCTCTGCTACAACCTCTGCTGCATTATTGGTGCAGAACCCTTCCCACATAATATCCCTCCTACTGATCTTGCCGTTATTGGTACCACACTAGACTTAGTATGAAAGTACTGTTAGTACCACTAAGCATCAGAGATAACATACTCACTTGCCAAATTACGTTTAATGGCAAAATTCCTCAACTAGCAAAGATTAAGAGCCTATGGGCATGCCCACTGCAAATTCTGAGGTTATTTACTTAGTGACTCAAATATTAGGCAGTCATCTCTAAATATGGTTGCAATTAATATTCTTAAAACAATTTTAAACAAAATGCTTTATAGTTTTATACTAAATGAAGAATTGGATAAACGGTGCAAACAGACCTGAGACAAACATTCAGTTCTAACACGCTGAAACTCTAGACTCTGAAGGACACAGCCCACTAGCAGAAATTACAAGGGGAATCCAGGAACTAGGAAGGAAATTAACCAGTAAGACAAAGCCTACAACGCAACATTATAGATTCTGTGGTTGAAGTAGCCTGACAAAAATATTCTCCCCTTCTGAGGATACTAATAGATGAGGTCATCCAATTTGCCAGCTTAGCATTCAAAGAAAACCATTTTCCCAAAAACCTGATGTCCTCTTGCACCCTAAATTCTGACAATTCCACAAGTTTGGCCTCACTTATGCCCCTGCCTGGATTGCCCTTCCTATCTTTTAATTCCTACTCACCCTTCACCTCATAGTTGATGTTTTTTGACAACTACACTAGAGACACTCTACTTCTGCTGAGTCAATCACAAGGGAAATTAAGAATATAGACATTCATGTATCTTAACAAATGGTATCTCAAGTGTAGTCTTAAAAAAAAAAAAAAAAAGGCGTTTTAATGTTGTATAGTCATTCCCTTATAGGTAGGTGGTTTTACTTGACCACTTTTAATCCATCTTCCCCCAACCTCATTAGGAGCCCCTTATAGGAAATAAAGTTGCAGAACGTAACTTTTTTTTTTTTGGAAACTGTAAAATACTCTTGTGTTTATGAAACTTAGAATCTACTTTTTAAATACAGACTTACACATAGGGCATTAAAAAGAAAAACTTCCCATAAAGGTTATCAATGAAATTTTTTTAATAACCAAAGACCATGACATTGTAAATTATCAAGAAAAATATAGTGCACAGTAAAACTTCTGATGTTCTTAAAACACTTTTTCACTTTGCATGGGATACAATATACATTTCTGTTTAGATTTCACTCTCCATTTTTTGAGATATTTCAGGAAACACAAAATAGTTCCTACACTAGCAACAAAAATCTTTCTAGTACGAGTTTGTGATCATAGCCTCTGAAATTTCAAAAGTTGCCACTATATTCTTCCAGTCCTGTAAACTCAGAGAGATAATTCCTTGTTTCCTGCTATGAAAACTGGGATCATTTTCCTCATCTACTTGGTTAATACTAATTGGCTCTAATATTGGCAGTCTGTCCTGGTCGAGGCTTATTCTTGCAAAGCCATCCCTTACAATGAAAGAAACATAGAATATGTTCTCCACGGTGCGAGAGAAAGAGTTCGGGTCGATCACAAACTCAAAATAAGACACAGGACTGTCGGGGTACTTCTGAAAGTACGTCTGCAGCAACCCCAGGATTCTCTCCACTTCTTTCTCTGTAGCCTCATGATTACTACTGAGGTCCAGCTTCCTCAACTTTGTGGGCATGTCTCCGCTTCCCTTCAGTCTGCGAACTCTCTTCTGATGTTCAAGTCGAGGCTTTCGTACGGAAGGTTCTGGCTTGAACGAACCAAAGATATAGCGGAAATTCTCCGCTCGCAGCATCCAGCATGCTGCTTCCTTCTGGAGCGTCTCCCAGAAGTGAAGAGCCGCGGTCCCATCACAGCTACTCAGCTCGTGGTGCTCGTCTTCCATCCAGTTTAGGCCCATGAATATGAACAGGAAGTCACAAAACGCTGCTTGGTTAAAAAAGCTCATGTCAAAGTTTAACTGCTTCGCCTTCTCTTTCCCCAAGTCAGAAGCCAAAACGAGGAACTGGGCGTCGAGGGCCGCCTCCCGGGTGCGGCTCACGCCATCGAACAGCACCTTGGCCTCCTCCAGCGCCTCGGTGAGCGAGTTGCTGGCCGTGTTCACGATGTCCTCGCGGTTGTGCTGCACGCTCCGCATCAGCTGCCGGTACTGCTTGCGGATGCTCCGGCATTTCTCCTCATCAGCCTCCAGCCCCAGGAGGATGGGGTCCAGCTGGGCCTCCCCTGAGCTGAGGTCATCAGAGTCCAGGGCCATTTCCACCTTCATCGGTTCTTCCTCCTCCTCCACCGGCTTCACCAAGTACTCGCTTCCGGTGACGGTCACGATCGCCGCCTCCCCTTTCTGTACACCTTCCTTCAGGGTACTTGCTTCGTCAGGCCTGTTGACGACCGGGAGCGCGTAGCGAACTGCCTCCTCAACGATTCCCACACCGTATATACGCCTGAGGTCAGTTACGGCAGCACACGACACCCGCCCATGCGCACTAGCGGCTGCCCCTGCCCGCCGGCGGCTCGCCCCGCCCCTGCCACGCCCCACGCCACGCCGGCCCCGCCCCGTGCCGGCTCCGCCTCCACCTCGCCCCAGGGCTGGGCGGCCCCGCCTCATCCCTCCCCGTGCCAGGACGGCCCCGCCCCGTCCCGCCCCGAGGCAGCTCCAGCGGGATGCAGGACTCTGCGTCTCCGCCTCCGCCCAGCCCCGCTGCCTGGAGCCCGGATCCCTGCATTCGCGCACAGAACGCGCGCCAACAATGCCCCCCCTCACCCCCCACCAGGAAGTAACAGCCGTTCAGGCAAGGGCTAGTCTCACTTTTGGTGTGTAAAGACCTAGTACACAAACACCTGGGGGCAACCTTAGGACAAAATTTGGGAGAACTAAAGGTCTTGTGATTTGAAACGCTTAGAGCACCTGCACTCACTCCATCACTAAAAGATGTTTAGTTTTTGAGAACTAAATCTGGCTAGACGGACAGAAATAGATACACAGATATATAAACTATGAACTGTCAGGAAGGCCAAGATCAGGAAACGCTGACCTCTTACAGAGAGGCCACATCCAGAGATGCATTGCAAGGTGGCTGTTCAGAACTCATCATACAAACATAAACCCGGTGAATTATATCTGTAGGCCCTCAAAGGCCAAATCCCATCCCACTTACTCCCTCCTGAGGATGGGGAGGGGCGGAGTGGCAGCAGTGTCAGTGCCAGCTGTGTGCACTCGTAAGTCAAGGGATCCCTGGACGAATGGAGTGGGGAGGGGTCTCTGCCAAAAAAAATAAACAAAAGTCTTTATTTGGAAACTTTCCCAAAATGTAAAAGCCACTGACCGAACAGCGAAAGACCAGCAATGCTCTGAAGATTTTTAAGTACAATCTGTTACAAGGACATGAGAATGACATCTGTTAACTGGGTTGACTAACCTGCTTTGGAAAATTCACCCACTAGCCATGGGTGGGTGTCGCTCCCCCTCTTCATGGAGGAACGACACTAAGCCCTGCCTAGGCTTCATATCCGAGTCATGGCACCATTATGTCGCTCCCCGTCTTCGTGGAGGAAACGACACAGGACCCTGCGCTGTTCTTTTGTCTGCTCGGCCCTCCCCGGGTTTGCTGCTGGTTCTTCCCGGGTTGGCTACCGACCCTTCCACCTCCGTGGAAGGGCGGTTCCCCCTGCCACTTTCCCCACTTTCGCGGGGGGAACCGCCCTTCCACGGAGGTGGAAGGGTCGGTAGCCAACCCGGGAAGAACCAGCAGCAAACCCGGGGAGGGCCGAGCAGACAAAAGAACAGCGCAGGGTCCTGTGTCGTTCCTCCACGAAGACGGGGAGCGACAGGTGGGTAATGGAAATTCACAAACAGGTAAAGAACCGGCTCAGTTTCAGTCACACAAGTAGCAAATACAGGTAACAATCAGAAGAATAAGTTTATTTCTAAAGACAACCAAAGTCAAAAGTTTTTCATGAGTGTGAAGTGTTTCTTCAAAACTAAAACCACGGGAGACACACATTATAGCCGACAACCACAGGTTTCAGGGCACCAAGAAGAAAACCAACCCTTCTTCTTTTTTTAATTTCTTTTTTTTTTTTTTTTTTTTTTTTTTTTGACAGGCAGAGTGGACAGTGAGAGAGAGAGACAGAAAGGTCTTCCTTTGCCGTTGGTTCACCCTCCAATGGCCGCTGCGGCCGGTGCACCACGCTGATCCGATGGCAGGAGCCAGGTACTTCTCCTAGTCTCCCATGGGGTGCAGGGCCCAAGCACTTGGGCCATCCTCCACTGCACTCCTGGGCCACAGCAGAGAGCTGGCCTGGAAGAGGGGCAACCAGGACAGAATCCAGCGCCCCGACTGGGACTAGAACCCGGTGTGCCGGTGCCGCGGCTCAATAGGCCAGGCGGAGGATTAGCCTAGTGAGCCGCGGCGCTGGCCACCAACCCTTCTTAGTACCTTTCTCTCTCTTCTTCTAGACTGCTTCATGTTTCTTTGGCACTAGCAGAAAGTTCCTTGCAAATGCAAAACTCAGTATAAATTACTCCAAAATATTATGCTACTATTTTCCAGAAATATTTACTTAAGTAGGAGGATTCAAGGAAAAGCATGCAGTTTGGAAGAATCCCATACATTATGGTTATTTGTGCATATATTTATAAAAAATCCTGCCCTGTTACACTATTTGCTTCTCAAAAACAAGAACTTGGTTTTATCTTTCTTTCTCTTTTTTTTTTTTAAAGATCTTATTTATTTATTTGAGAGGTAGAGCCACAGACAGTGAGAGGGAGAGACAGAGAGAGAGAGGTCTTCCTTCTGCTGGCTCACTCCCCAAACAGCCTGAGCTGTGCCAATCCGAAGCCAGGAGCCAGGAGCTTCCTCCAAGTCTCCTATGCCGCTGCAGGGGCCCAAGCACTTGGGACATCCTCCACTGCCCTCCCAGGCTATTGTAGAGAGCTGGACCAGAAGAGGAGCAGCCAGGACTAGAACCAGCACCCATATGGGATACCAGCGATTCAGGTCAGGGCTTTAACCTGCTGCGCCACAGCACTGGCCCCAGGTTTTATTTTTCAAACATAATTATTTTCAAAATTAATGCACTTGGATATGCACTCAATAAGTTATTGTGATTAAAAATCTGATCTAATACCCACAAGTTATTTGATCTAGCACCCACAGGGACTAGCATTGTGCCACAGCAGGTTAAATTGGCGGCTTCCCATATTTGATCCCAGCTACTCCACTTCCAATCCAGCTCCCTACTAATGCACCTGGGAAAGCAGCAGAAGATGGCCCAAGTACGTGGAGTCACTGCCACTGATCTGGGAGAGACCAAGATGAAGTTGCCGGTTCCTAGCTTTGACCTAAACCAGCCCCAGTCATTGTCACAGCCATTTGGTGAGTGAATCAACAAAAGATAATCTTTCTTTCTCGCGCTCTATCACTTTGCCTTTCAAATAAATAAATCTTTTAAAAAAAATCAAAGATTAAGGAAAGTAGTAAGTCCTACAGTTTCTGAAAGTAAATGTTACTGCTTAACCATTTTATCACACCTGTGGAATAAAGAATAAACAAGAGAAAAATAAAGTTGAGATGCTGGATCACTAAAAGGTCATTTTTTCCCACATTCAGCCAATATTTAAATCTATCTTAAATCTTGTATGAAAAAAACACAGCTCAGGCAGGGCCAGTGTTGTGTTACAGTGTGGGTTAAGCCACTGCCTGTGACACTAGCATCCCATAGAGTGCCAGTTCAAGTCCCAGCTGTTCCACTTCCAATGCAGCTCCCTGTTAATGTGTCTGAAAAGGCAAAGCAGAAGGCGGCCCAAATGCTTGGGACCCTGCCACCAACATGGGAGACCAGGATGGAGTTCCTGGCTCCTGGCTCTGGTCTGACCCAGCCCTAGCCATTGAGCCCATTTGTGGAAAGAACCAGAGGATGAGAGACCTCTAACTCCTGCCTTTCAAATTAATTAATTAATTAATCAAAAAGATAATACAAAAACCCAAGACCCAAATTGAAAAAAACCTGATTTTACAGTGAACTGTATTCTTGGGAGCTTCTGGTATCCATTTTAAATTCAATGAAAGCAATTTATAAAAAGAACTCCAAAAGCCAACCTTCCCACCCTAGGGTGCATATTTTCTCCTGGCTCAGAGGAAGGAAAACAGGCTGACACCAGTTTGCTCCATACAGAGCCTTTCATCTAAGAATTTCAAAATGCTTTGGAAAAATATATTAATCCTCCCAACCCACTCATCAAGTATTACTAACACCATTTATAGGGATTTCTCAGGTGATAACACACAGCCCACACAACTTGCTGAGAATAACAGAGCACAAGGCAAGCGACCTAAGTTGTGATTTCTAATGTTGAATTCCTCCTTTGCATGATCGCAGTTCCCAAGAACCTTAAAGCAGCTTAGATCATCCTCCAAAAGATTTAAAATCTGCCTTTAGACATTGCTACCAAGGAAAACAATCATGTCTAATGGTTTTCCCCTCACCATTTCAACAGGATTTCTAACACTTGTGAATTCTTAAATCTGGGGCCAGTGCCGTGGCACAGTAGGTTCTCCACCTGCAGTGCCGGCATCCCATATGGGTGCTGGTTCAAGTCCTAGCTGCTCCACTTTCAATCCAGCTCTCTGCTATGGCCTGGGAAAGCAGTGGAAGATGGCCCAAGTCCTTGGGCCCCTGCACCCGCATAGGAGACCAGGAAGAAGCACCTGGCTCCTGGCTTCAGATCAGCACAGCTCCCGCTGTTGGGGCCATTTGGGGAGTGAACCAACGGAAGGAAGACCTTTCTGTCTCTCCCTCTCACTGTCTGTAACTCTACCTCTCAAATAAATAAAATCTTTTTAAAAAATCATTGAACAGTTCTAAGATTTATTATTTATTTGAAAGAGTTACACAGAAAGAGAAGGAGAGAGAGCTCTTCCAACCACTGGTTCATTCCCTAAATAGCTGCAATGGCCTGAGCTGCGGCAACTGGAAGCCAGGAGGCCATCATGGCCACTTTGGGAGTGAACCAGCAGATGGAAGACTTGTCATTTTCTCTCTCTCTATAACTTTGCCTTTCAAAATAAATTTTAAAAAAGATTTTACAAAGAAAAAAGTTCAGTATCTCAAAGAAGCTTTGAATAACTGCTCTATTCAAATAAGATGGTATTATTACTAGTGAGGTAAAAGATACAAGTCCCACTAAGTAATCTGGACCCACAAGTTGGGGTATATAAAAGCTCTACCCTCAACTGTGAATTTACATACTTAATGACACTTAGAAAACCAACGCTGGCTCACTTGCCCAGCCTCAAAAATAAGAAACAAGGGTGGAAGACGAAGGGAACAGAATCTCTCAGAAGTCCCCAATAACAGGGGCATTGTTTTGATGGGGAAGTGGCTGTGCTCTGGACACTGGGTTCAAATAAAAAAAAAACCTGGTGCTTAGTTTCCACTGATTTTATTCAATGTTTGAATCTCTTCCTTTGTAAAATGAGTCTATCAGATGTCTCACTTAGCCATATAGAACAGTTGTGACCATCTTTTTAAGAGTCAAATGCAGGGACCAGCACTGTGGCATAGTGGGTAAAGCCCGCTGCCTGCAGTGCTGGCATCCCATATGGGTCAGGTTTATGTCCCAGCAGCTCCTCTTCCAATCCAGTTCT